CAGTGAAGCAATGTCCTCCACAACTAGACTGAAGAACAAAACGACAGCAACTTGTCTGTTCCCCTTCCCCCAATTCCCCAGCTCTGTTCCCATCCACCCAATTCCCCAATAAAAATCTTAAAAAAAAAAAGAAAAGTAAAGAAAGATGGATTTCCAGCTTCTCTTTAAAAGTTAGATCTGGGAACAGTGGGTCTATAACCTCCCTAACCCCCCAAAATAGCCCGAGTTAGAGCTGAGCAGGCTTTGCCCCTTCAGACAGGACACTCGCTCTGCAGGCCTGGCACCTTCCACTCCTCCATTCTCTGCCAGAACCAGCTGGCCCCTGGGAGCATCTCTGTGCATGAGCCTGGTAAGCAGGACTTCAGATGCACTAGGGGAGGTTCAGAAAGGTTAAGTGACTTGCTCAAAACCACACGGCCAGCAGTGGTGGAGCTGGGTAGCCATGCCTGACGCATCGTCTAGTGCCACAGCCCCTGTGCCCAGGACTTCACCGCCTGGAGCACATTCTACCATAATCCCACTCCACAGAGGAGGAAAGTGAGGCTCAGAGAAGGGCAATGAATTTGCTCAAGGTCACCTAACCAGTAAGCAGAGAGCAGAGACCAAGCCGGATGTGGCTCTGCTTCAAGCACCCTTCTTAATGGCTTTACGCACTGTCCCTGAGACCCCCTGACTCCATTTCACTGACTACAACAACCTCAACAGGCTCCGGCTGACAGCCTGGAGGTCTGCCAAGCAGAGGGGCTGCGGCTTTGGCTCAGAACAGGATGCTGACAAGGCACATCTGAGGCCAGGCCAGCCTGTGACCAGAGCTTCCAGAGCTTAAGACACACAGGAAATGGGGCACAACAGGGACAGCCAGGGCTGTCCCAAACCCACTTCTGAGCTGCTCATGTTCATGTCCCCTTCTTGGTACCCTTCCTCACCCAATCTATTCATTCTGACCCCAAACCTCCAAACCCTAACCTGCATGGAGCGTGCTCACTGAAAACACCTCTAGGTTCAAATCCAGGCTTAATCAAACCTACCCAGCAATACCTACCTAAAGCTGTAAGAATTAGACATAATATATGCTAAATGCTTAGCATGATGCCTGGCCCATAGTAGGCACACAATATAGAACTGATGACTGAATGAATAAATGGATTCCCCCATTTTAAAGATTGGGAAGCTGGGGCCCCTGGTCACTCAGCATCTGAGGAGCAACACTGGGATTGGCGCCAAGGTGCGATGGATCTGGGCTTGGGCTCTTGGCCACCATGCCACCTCCTGACTAGGCTTTTCGGGGTTGGAGGTGGGTGGGAAGAACTGCCACTGGCCTTAAAGGAATCTGACCCTAGTCAGTCCAGGCCCCCTCCTGGGCTTGTCAGAGAAATGACTTTCCAGGAATTTTGTGCCTCTGCTGCGGAAAGGGGTCCCCTGTCTCTGCTCTTCCCACCCCATTTCCTTGCTCTGTGTCTCCACATCACCTCTCTGGCCAGCAAGGTGTTGGCTCTTGCTACCCTCACCCTGAGGCCAGCGGGGAATGGGAACGACAGGAGTGGGGACAGGGCAGCCCTCCACCTCCCAGGCTGCGAGCCTCTTTAGGATCTTTAGTTTGACATTCTTTCCAGGTGCTCCCCCTCCCTTTCTGAGATAACTACATCCTGCTACCCATCCCCCCAAAGCCCACAGAAACCACAGTACAGACTGGCTAGGGTGGTGGTGTCTGGCATTTGTTGGGCACCTACCATGTGCCAAGCACTGTACCAAGGACTTGCCATGTATTATTTCAGCAAATCCTCCTTGCTGCCCTCTGAGGGGCTGCTACTCTGCCCACTGTACTGCTAAGAAAACTGAGGTACAGGACATGACTTGCCCATAGTCACCAGAGCTGATGAGAGGCAGAGTCCAAGCTTGGGAGCCCCCACTCTCCCAAGCTGCTTGGGGAAGGTTTCATCTTGCAAAGTGGGGAGGCAGAGGGCTTGGGTACATGTCTTGACCCTTCTCCAGACTGGCTGAGTTACCTGGAGCGGATCTCCTGCCTGATCTGAGCCTCAGTTTCCCCATTTCTGTGCAGAAGCACAACTGCTGTCGCTCTCCAAACCTGTCCCACTCTGGCTCGGGAAAGCGGCTGCCATTCCAGGGTGCAGGTTTCCCAGGCACTTTGGGGTGGGGGTGGCCTCCCTGAATGAGGAGGGCAGCTCACAGACCCTCTGCAGCCCCTGGAAGGGGGATCACCAGGTTGGCTGACTCAGGGCTCCTCCACCCAAAGACCTGGCTCCAGGTTCCCATGTTCTGCCCCATTCCCGCCGCCTCTTCAGCCCAAATGTGCAGCCCGAGGCCCCCAGACCCATATGCTCCTCCTTCTCCCAAAGAGCAGGGGGCATCGACGGTTCCGAATAGAAAGCCCCTCACCCAGGCCAGGCCGAGGCTGAGGATCCTTTCCTGGGTTCCCGGGGCCTCCTGGCGATTGGGTACGACATGCCTCTCAGGATTGGGGCAAATTCTGAAGACCCAGCACCCCTGCCGCCGGAACCCCCAGGGTATATGGAGACCGGAGAATGAAGAGCTGACCCGAGAGCCGGGAGGAGGTGTGAGGCGGGGCAGGGGCAGTGGGGACAGACAGGGTGCTGAGTATGAATGTGAGGGGCGTGCATGCAGCGCGGGAGCCCAGGAGGCGTGTAAATGGCCGGGGGAGCCGCGCGTGTGCACACGCGGGGCGGGCGTGCGGGGCGCGATGCGATGCGATGCGCAGTGCGTGGAGTGGCTGGGCCGGGGAAGGGCGCCCGGCGTGCGCTGTGCCGGGCGTGCGTGTGCAAGCGTGGCGCGGGTTTGCAGACACGCGGAGTGCACGGCGCCCGGGGGTCCGCAGGGACGGGGCCATGCGTGCGTCCGTGCGCCCTGCTCTGGGGGCGGCGGGGTGCGTACTCACCTCCGCTCCGGCTCCCGCGTGGGCTCCGGCTCCAGGCTCCGGGTTCCCGGCCGGCCTCTCGCAGCGCTCAAGCACCGGCGCCAAGCCTGGCGGTCGCCCGCAACGCCACCCCTGCAGTATCGCCCGGCGCCCTCCTCGGAGGAGCGCGGCGCGGGCCGGGGGCTCCGTCCGGCCGGGGCGGCTGAAGGGAGCTGCGCCGCAGTCCGGGCACGCTCCCAGGAGCCTGCCGCGCGCTCCCTTGCGCTCGCCCGCCCGCCCGCTCCCTCTTTAATTTAAAGTGACAACCCCGAGCGCTCTCTTCGCTCCGGGGAGCCGCGCGGCGCTTCCGGGGTCTGAGCCGAGGATCCCCAAGCGCGTCCCGGAATCCCGGGGGTCGCCCCGAGGCGGAGTTCAGCCCCTCACTCCCAGGCTGGGGGGACGAGGGTAGGATGGGGATGCGCTCACCAGGGGCTCCGGGAGGCAGGCGGAGCACGGGACGCAGTCAGCAGGCCCGGGGTCTAGTTCCAGCCTCCCGCACCCAGCGTTATCCTGTTCCCTTTCTGGGCCTCAGTTTCTTTTTCTGTAAAACAGTCTGATACTGCACACCCCCTAGGAACCGCTGAGAAAGCAGGCGGCTCTGAATGGATAATTACCCTCTCCCACCATGATTGGGCTGTTACTGTAGGCCAACATCATCTCACTTAATCCTCACAACGACCTAGCGGGGTCGTGGTCACTCCATTTTTTTACACGAGGGAACAGGCTCAGAGGTGAAATGACCTTTCCAAGGTCACAGAGCCAAAGGTCAGAGCCAAGACTTGAACCCAGGTCTAACTTCAAAGTCCATACTCTTAACCCCTTTAGGGGTCGTGCTTTCTCTCCCCAAAGAGTGCGTGAATCATTCAGGAGGTATTTATGACACCCCCGCTGAACGCTAGGCACAATGCCAGGTGTGGGCGATCTTCCGGGAACAGGGGGACAGGTTCCACTTTGCCCTCGTAGTCTGGCGGGGAGGCGGGCATGCATTACCAGATGCTGGGGTGTGCAGAGGACGTTGCCACGTGCCGTGGGCACAGTAACAAAGAGAGCAGGCTTGGTGGGTACCTGGGGAGGCCTGGGGTGAAGTGGGAAAGAGGGATGAGGCTCTCAGGTGGGGAGTGAATGTGCAAAGGCAGCAGTGGTTCCTGGATCATCTACCCTGTGGGCCTTTGGGGCTGCCCTCTCAGGAGGAGCTGGGTCTGTGCTGGGCTTTGTGTGGAGGAGGAGGCTTCCTTGATCCTCTACACGGCAGGACCCCGGGGAGCCCGGGCTATAGTTTCACTCTCACCCATAGGGGGCGCCCTTGTTTTCCAGTCATTTTTCTGGACCGGGAAGAGCAAGGAGAAAGGATATTAATTATACCCCCTTGGAGGGGAGAGGCTGGGCACTGGATCATGGGCTTTCACTGCCATTTCTTATTTAACTTAATCTTCACAGCCACCTGCAGTTAGGCAAGAATGAGCCCGTTTTCCAGACGAGGACACTGAGGCCTGAGGAATGAGAGAGTTCCCAGTTTGTGAAGGAGTGGTGAATTAGACACCCCATCCACACATAAAAGGACACACTCTGATGCAGGCTTCCATTGGAGCAGCAAAAAGGTGAAGTTGAAGCTGGTCTGGCTCTGGGGTCAGCCGCCCATGCTGATGCAGGAACTGGAGCGAGCACGTGAAGGGAGGTCTTGTCAATTTCAGGCTAAAGACCCTTCAACAACCAGAAAAGCGTGCGCATGTAGAGTGTGCACATGTAAAGCGTGCGCATGTAAAGCGTGCACATGTGCACCAAAGACAGGGATGACAAGGGCCAGCAAAAGTCGGGTGTGAAATGCTTTGTAGTGTGGTCACAATAACATACCGTGCAGCGAAGGGGGAAACCAAACTACCGCTGCCCACAACAAGGTGGGTGAATATCTCTTGAAATATTAAGCGACTGAAGCCAGACACAAAAGAACAACATTGAATGATTCCATTTATACAAAGTTCAAAATACAGGCAAAACTACTCTGCTTATAGCAGTCAGGAGGGCGGTGACCATGGGGTGGTGTCTGGAAGGGACCTGCGGGGAGAGTTCTGGGGTGCTGCTCACGTTCTGGTTTTGGCTTCAGCATTGGTCCCCTGGGTGTGCTTGTGAAAATTTGTGGCCTTGCACACTTATGATTTGTATACTTTTCTGCATGTGTGATACACTTCAATACGACTTACAAAAACAAACAGGGGCAGCCAGTTGGCATAGTGCTCATAACACCAAGGTTGCCGGTTCAATCCCCACATGGACCACTGAGCTGTGCCTTCCACAACTAGATTGAAACAACTACTTGACTTGAAGTTGATGGGTCCTGGAAAAACACACTGTTCCCCAATAGAACAAACAAACTTGTGTGGCTACCCACTGCTCTAGAATAAAAGCCAGATTGCTTTCTGTGGCTCATAGGCCCTGCTGGCCTCTCTGACTTGTCCTGCCATCCTCCCCCTGATCCACCCATCTCCCACCTCAGGCTTTCTGGTGTTCCTGACACCTGCCAAGCCATTTTCCACCTCAGGGACTCTCGCTTGCTGATCCCTCTGCCTGGAAAGCCCTTTCCCTACTCTCACTAAGACGGCTTCCTCCATCTTCTGTGCATCACCTTAAAGAAGCCACCTCTTCAGAGAGACCCTCCTGACTACCCCATCTACCACCTAGAGTCCCACCCACAGCACACTGTTCATTTCCTTCAAAACACCAGCCATAATCTGCAATTATTTTATTTATTTGTTTACAGGTCATTTTCTGCGTCCACCACTCGACTAATAATCACAAACCCATGGCACACTTACTATGTGCCAAGTGCTCTTCTAATGTGTTAAGGCATTGAATTCTCACCCAACCCCATGGGGAGATACAATTCTTAGCCCTGTTTTACAGTTGAGGTAATTGGGGCTCAGAGAGGTTATATAACTTGCTCATGGTCAGGTCACACAGCTCGAAAGTAGCAGAGCCAGGATTTGAACCCAGGCAACCAGGCTCCAGTATCCTTTCTTCTAAAAAAAAAAANAGCCCACCTCCCAGCCCACACACCTGCTCCCTTCACATGATGCTTGGGGAGCTTGGCAGACCCACAACTTTTCATTCTATAAATGGCCCGGGCGCAGACGTCAGCTCTGAGTCACCCAGCGCCTGCTCAGCAGGGCTTGACTCAATGACGTGGGGCTCTGAAATAACAAGTCGCCGTCTGCTTGTCACCTACTGCCCACTGGTGTCCTTGCTGTGCCTGCCTGGACCCTGGGTCCCCTCAGGCTCCAGTAGGCTGGGCTCCCCCAGCCCTCTGTCTTCAGTTACCCGGGGCTGAAGGCTCCTGCAGGCCTGGGGCATCGGGTCCTGCCTGGTACCCACACCATCATGGTGGCCCTGGTCCCCTGTGTAGGATCTGGGATGCAGTCCAACCTCTGGGAACGAAGTCTCCATCATGAATTCCAAGGTGGGAAGAGGGTGCCCACCTTGGTTCCCTTCCAGTGCCCCAGCCTTCACTGCTGCCTTCTGCTCTCAGACCCCCATCTCTCCCCCCGACAGGGGCTGCCTGCCTCTCTCTGTGGTTCCCATGTTTCCCCAGCTAGATTAATCTTCCCACTGTGCACAGCTCCTGAACTCAGCCAAAGCTGGGGGTAGGGGGCCTGGCATTGTGCCCCACACTTGCTGATGTCTCCAGGTGCCCAGGGGTTAGCAGCTGGGCCACAGCTCCCACCACCAGCTGCAAGGAGGAGCCCGGCAGCCAGCAGGGCCTTACCTGCTGTGGTCTTGTCATTGGTCCAGATGAGATTCTTGGCCTTCACCACCACCACGGTGAGGCGCTCGGCCGTGGGGAGGTAGCTGAGGGAGAGCAGGATCTCACCCACAGCATCGGCGACCTAGAGGAAGGAGCGGCTCAGCGGGCTCCCGCCCCGATGGTCCAGGGAAAGGCAGGAGCTTCTTTCTCCATTGAGAGGTTGCTGCTCTGGGGACCCCTTACACCAGGATACCAGGCTGATGAGACTGAGAAAGAGACCCCCTCCCCCATTCCATGGAGTATTACCATCCCTCCGTCCCACCGGGTGGGGGTCCTGTCTTGGAAGGCGGGCCAGAGGTTGCCTGTCAAGTGTAGCATCAAATGAAGTTATGTTCCCTCATTCCAGGCCGAGGAAAACATTGTGTGGTGGTGGTATATAGAGATCCAAGTGGACTAGAATTAGTAGATCATTTGCTTATGCTCCCCCGAAACTCCTACGTTTATAAAGGTAAACTTCAGCTTGGCCTCTGAAATAAGTCATGTTAGGGCCAGAGGAGTACTTCCTAACAGAAGCTCTACAGGAGTAGAGCTTCTAAAGCTTTGGTGGTAGGAGCAGTAGAAGAGCTGTAAACAGTGGTCAGGGTGTTTTTTGTTTTTTTTCATTTGCATGCAGTAAACCGAGTCTCCTTGAATGTGGCTCAATAACCTAAAGATGTTGGTGTTTGGGTTGTTGTAGAGGACAAGTGAAGTCCCTCATCTGAAGTGTATGTGTGTGATGTTCTCTTCACAGGTGGACGAGTGGGCAAACTTACCTTGTTCTGGTCCTGTAAGTAGAGCCAGCCGCTGAATGGCTGCAGCGGGAGGTCGAGCACAGAAAGCTTCAGCTCCACCACCCCCGTGCTGACATTCCGCTCATCCTCATCAATGCCAAAAACAGAAAACCGCAGGCTCTTCTCCTCCAGGGCTGCAGGGTCCAGGGGGATGGAGAACTTCTCGTCGAAGAAGATGGAGTAGGCATTCCTCTGGATCTGCAGAGAGAAAGGGCCATGGAGGGCACTCCAAAACTGGGAAGGAGGTGGCAGCCAGGAGCCTGCAGGCCATGGTGGAGGGGAGCACTGGACAGAGAGTCTAGGACTTGGGCTTGAGTCCTGGCTCTGCTTTCTCCCAACCTCAATGCCA